CAAAGGCAGCTTCTCTTCCAGTAATGCCACGTGTGAGCAGAGTGAAGCAGTGGTCACCTATCTGCAGGCCCCCACCTGCTCAGAGGCACCATATTCTTTGCAGATCGATGTCTTAAAGCCATTTCTCTCCATCCCCATTGAAAAATCTGACCTGAGTGCCACTGCAGAGCTGAGAAGGCAGGCAGAAAACACAAGGAAATAGCTGGTTTTGTTATTAAAATCTGCGATATGGAGCATGGGACAAAGCAATTTCAATTCCCCAATTCTCTAATTCCAGAGAGCTTTTCTTTGTAACCGAACTATAGCTTTTTAATATAGTCTTTGGCAAAAACGTGCTTCCTTTTATTTTCCTCCTTGTGGAAACTTAAGAAACCACTCTGTAACATTGCACACAGAGTAGCCTGCTCCTATACTGGGAAACACCAACGGCTCTCATTTGCCAGCCCTGGCTATGATTGAAGCCCCATAAAAATGAAGAGGTTCTCCTGCCAGATTCATCCTGGTGTTGAAAGACAGAAGAAAGCTGTTGCCACTTTCCAGTTTCCCTTGGCACGAGGATTTTCTGATGAGCCACGACATCCCAGGGAGGAAGGTCGGTGCTGGCTCACCTGCATGCTGGCTGTGCTCAGCACATCCCTCCTGGCACTGCATTCCCAAGCACTGCCGAGCAGCCACGGAGTTGCACAAAGTCTCTTTGGGCTCTGGAATGAGCTCCTTGTTTACATGAAAACCATACAAGCCAGGCACACCACAATGCAAACCTTTCTTGGCTATTGAATGCCATAATTACATAGCGTGTAGCCATGAGTAATTGTGCGTATGGAAAAGAGCTCTCGAATCCACTGCTGTGTGCTGCTGGTGTATATGGCTGATTTATACACATAGCATAATTTAAACAACCCACGGGCCATAATGTGCCCCCAAATGTTTAGCTGAGTGTCCCCAAATTTGTTTTGCACGTTTATCCTTCCGTTTGTTCGGAACGTACATGTTCTTTGACTTTACCATGTGCCTTCCAGCATTATTTCATGGAAATTCCAATTTCCTGCCCTGAAAGAAAGCCTGATGATAATGAGGAGCTTGAAGCTTTTCAAACAAAAAGGCAGTTTGAGTCAGTTCTGCATTTTGCTTTTAATCAAAACTAGTCGTATGCATTTGCATCAACAACGAGCTCAGCCCACAATGCTCCATATGGGCTTGGCTGCTGGCATTCAGGGGCAACTGAAAAAGCTCCCCATTTCTCAAAGGTTTAAGGATGACCTTGCAGAAGTGTCGTTTGTCAAGTGTCAGATTTTCCAGAATGGCTGGATAATATCCCTGGAAACGTTCTGAGGAATCAAAGAGCCAAATTCTGCCATGGCCAGAGCAGCACATCAACACTCACCTGCAAGGAGAGGGGGGGAAATGGGGAACAGGAAGATTTTAATGGACCCTGAAAGATTTTTTTATGATGCTTTATCTAGATTTTCATCTTCCGCTTTAGCTGTGCTTTATTTTTAAGCCATACTGTATTGACTCTGTTTCAACTGAGCCTCCAATACATAAGAAAACAAGCCACGGCCCATTAATCCGGACACCTATTTGCAATTCTGGGGTGTCTACAACATGTGGAAACAGCCTTAAAACTTTTACTGCTCCCCAGTTCTGAGCTGATCTCGCAGAACCCCCTTCGCGCTAATTGCAAGGAGGTCACCCCCAGGAGGGGGTGTCCATGTATGGGCAGTTTTAGCACCGGGTCTCTATTTTTGAGCAAATTAATAGCACCCAGAAGGGCTGCAGCACACAGACTGTGCAGGTCTGTTCTACAGAGCGTGAACAATTAGGAGAAAAGGGGACGGCAAATCACACGAAATCCCTGGATGTGCTGCCGCGAGGGGTTGTACAAGTTTTGCTTGGGAAGGATTTATTTCCACTCATTTTGGTCCTGTGGCTGTGAGAGGCTTGCAAAACCTTTCACCTTCTTTCCCTAGAGTCGTATATATTTTATGAGAAATTTAAGAATTACCTCTTATTAAAATGTGGATAGTGTAATTACCAATAAAAAGCAGATGTTGTGGCATGACTAATGCTTAAAAATGTGTATGTAGCAAGCATGACATAGGAGCACATCCAGGCTTTTCAGTAAGATAATAAAAGTTGTCTTTGTTGGATCAAACTGGCCAAGTCACAGAGGTCTGAAGTTGGAGGGAAGTTGTTATGGAAAACACTGGAAGGCTCCAAAAAAGGACAGCTTTCCTCCCACTGACCTCTGGAGCAAAGCTGGACTCCAGAAGGTACAAATGCAAGGAGAAATGACCCTCTTCACCTTGCTCACATCAGGAGGTGTCTGAAAGGTGTCCTGCTCCGAGCACCGTGACTTGCTATGCTGAGAGCATCCTTCCCCTAAAAGCTATAATGAGTGTAATTAGTGAACTCCCCGACACCTCAGGCACCTCCCAGGGGGTCCATAACCCACCTGCAGCAGTCAAGATCATTCCCTTGGACCCATCCCAAGGATTCTGGCAAGGGGAATCTGGAACAATCTGCTTGGGCTGACTTTTGAAAGAGGAATGCTCAGACATCACGCAAATTGGGTTGTACAGTGAGCTCCTCCAGCAGTCCCTGCTTCACAGACTTCGGCTGTGCTCACAGATTCGTCTCCCTTTCTTCCTGGCTGGTCTGGAAAGAAGCATTCCCAGCTCGGAAAGAGGGTCTGTTTTTCAGAGTGAGGGCATCCGTTTTGGAGCACAGGGAGGATCTGTGCCTTGTATGGGGGTGGGTGCAAGGGGAGCAGGAGGTGGGGGGCACCCGGGGGTGCAGGGTGGCTGGAACATCCCTTCAGGCAGCTCTGTTGCTCTCCTCTGCCTTCTGCCATCACATCCCACATCCTTCTTTGTCTCAAAGCCCATGCCTTGCCCACATGCTGGGAAATCAGAATAGAATCATAGAATCACAGCATCATTAAGGTTGGAAAAGACCTCTAAGGCCCCAAGTCCAAACCCAATCCATCCCACCGTGCCTAATGACCGTGTCCCAGGTGCCACATCTCCCCAGCTCTGAACACCTCCAGGGATGAGGACCCCCCCCCACCTCCCCAAGCAGTCTGTGCCAGTGAGATTTCTGAGAATAATTTTTGCTTAATACCCAGCCTGAACCTCCACTGACACAACTTAAAGCTATTTGCTCTCATCCTCTTGCTGTTACCTGGGAGAAGAGGCCTAAATTTGAGCACGCTGGAGGCAACAAAGATTCTCCATCTTTTCCTTGAGACCCTGCCCTGTTCAGTTGTTCTCCCTGAATTTCCTCTACAGAAAGATGCTACCTTTCAACTAAAGACAAAGAAATCCTTAGCCTGCTCTGGGCACGGCAGCAGTGCTGGCTCCTGGAGGAAGCTGCCAGGCTGAGGGCTGAGCACATCCCATGGGCACGCACTGCAAAGGATGCACCTGAGGGGATGGGAGCTCAGGGGCTGCTCCTTTCCCCTTTGATGGTTTTTTCTGTTTGCTTGTACCAGCGTTAGCTCTGTCATTTTGGGAAATGGAACTAAGGCACATGCGTAAGCAGCCCCTGACAGCAATTAGTTCTGGCAGTACTTTTGTGGTAATGAATTTCAATGAAGCCAGGGTTTTCGGTGCCTGAACACTTCATTAGCTGCTGCTATATCATCCTGATGCAGTTGAGAAATCACATTATAATAAAACGCATTTTACTTCAGGCAGCAACAAGGATAATAAATGGGATGAATAATAATTCAGGCTATTCACAATCATCCCTGTGCTTCAGAGTTCTGGAATTCTTGGTAAATAGATTGAATGCTGTATGAGGATGAATCTTATTCTGAATTTCTCAGTGACTCAGTTATTTATGGGCTTTTTTAATGTATTCTTAGAGAATGTGCTCCACTTTGTCACACTTGCCAGTTAAACACTGAAATACATGCACGCTGTTATGGCAATAAGGAAAGTCATCTGTCATTTAGCAGAAAGTAATTGCAACCTGAATGAAGGAAAGGAGATGATAACTATTTCGATGCGAGGTGTCAGGAAGTCTTTGTGTGCTTCTATATATTTACAGGATACAGTAAGTACTTTTATGTAAGTATGGAAATCTGTGGCTTTTGAAAACGCCTTGAAAGGCACAACTGAGGCATTCCCTTCTTCCTTTTGCATGTATCAGCCAAAGAGAGCAGCATTATTCTGTCACAGAAAAAGGAAATTAATACTGATCACTGCCTTTGGAGCGATTAGTATGTAAATGGGGAAAAAATGCCTGAATCTGATGTTATTTCTGTTGAAACTTATCCTTCCATGTGAGTCACGTTGGCTGCCCTGTGGCTCTGTGGGGCTGCAGAGGGCGGTGGAGGAGTGGCCCAGAGGTGCTGGTTGGGCTCACTGAAGGGATGGAGAGGACAGTTTTCATAGCCAGAGAGAACTGAAAACAAAAGCAGTTCATTTTCTGAAGTCTCTATTCAGCACGTTCCTTGGATGAAGATCATACATGTATTGCCATAATACAAATTTCCTCCCGGATCAGATGGGTGATTTCTGTGCTCTGTGCTGGTGAAGTCACCCTGACTCATCATTCTTGGAACCTGGAAAAAAAATGCTTGTTTCATTTTCAAGAAAACGTGGAGAAAGCTCAGGAACACAGTGAGCTCTCATCAGCCCCATCCACCCCTACCCAGCTAAGGACTGATGGCTTTCACCAAGAGATGTAATCCTTGTGCCAAGCAATGAAATGCCCATGCTGTCATAATTGCTGGTGGTTTAAAATGTGTGGGAGCTTTCAAGTGGAGTTTTTCCTCATTTTTCCCTCTTAGATGAGGGCTGCTTATCTAAGAATTTGAGCAGCAAGCAGTGTAAATGTTAAAGGTTTCTGGAGTAAATGATGGCTTCTAAGCATGTGCTGACTGGGTAAAACTGGGGGTCCTGTAGGATACCTCCTATCTCTTCTTTCTAGTTTTGGGTGATAACCACTTGACAAAACCAAAGCCATGGAAAAAAAGACCAACAATGGACAGAACCAACCTGCTTCTAAAAGATGGGTTTTATGACAAATGCAGTAAAATCTTAAATCCAAAATGATCATTTCTAGGTGGTTATCTCAGTCATTTATTTTCTCTCTGACAGGGATAAAAGCAACCAGGAGTGGGACAACAGTCCCACTTACTTTGTGATGCTGCCATGGAACCCCATCACCAAGGGAACAAAACGGATGTGGGATGATGCTCTCCCCACAGGCTTTCTCTTCTTCAGTGCTTCTCGGACACCTGGTAACCATAAAAATACCCTCTATCTCTCCCATGGGAATCCTTGGGTTGCACTTGTGTTACCCAAATGTGTAGATAAGGCCCCTTTGAATGAGGTATTTGTAAGCTATATTTAAAATACTAAAAAATTGTAGAGAGTCTATATGGCTATAACATTACTATATTTTTCAAGGAGATGAGGTCTCGTAATTATGATAGCTTGATAAATGGACTTTTCAATGAATAAAATGTGAGTTGATTTGAAACATCAGGCCCAAACTCAATCAAAGCCTTGAATTGCACGTGCCTCTTTGGTTTGAGTGGAAAATTCAAAAAGAAAATATCAGGAGGAAAAGAGGGTTGAACCAACTTTTTTTAAGACTCTACTGAAATTTCAGTATTCTTCCATTTCCAGAGCATTCAGGAGCACCACTGATCTGCCAAGATTTTCAGGAGACCAATAATCAGTCTAAATCAACCGTGGGAGTGCCATGGCTTTGGTTTGGAATCTGTCAAGGAAGGCCATGCAGTTGGGAAGTTTAACCTCAAATGAGGTACGAGTGCTGTCTCTGGTTTTGTGCTGTGCCAAACAGGAGTAAAAAATCAGACAGGAAGGGTTGGAGATCGGGTTTTTATTTCTGAAGTCTACTTATTGTGACCGTTCATCAGGACAAAGAAAATATGAAAGAGCCTGTGTCAATCACTAAAGACTGCTTGAGAATAAAGAAGCTAACTTGTATTTGGATTTTAAGGAGAACTCTTCCTGGGAAACTGCTTCAGGGCTCAGAAACAAAGAGCTGTACTTTTTTTGAATCATAACTAGTTTTTGAAACTTAAGCTTTTAACAAAATACAAATATTTGCAGTGCAAGTAGGCTCTGTTTCAAATGTTTTCCATTTTCCATCATAAATGGCTTTGATGGGAAATTTCTAACCACCTCTGTTTATCTCAAGCAGATTGTGGCAGAGGTGGAAGGAGGTACCAGTCTTTATGGGCCCATCTTTCCCTCCTTGTCTTGTAGATCAACGCAGAAACAGAAGCAAGCTTTGATGACAGCAAGGCTTATTCAGAGAAGAAGGAGAATGTGAATTATTCAGCCATCTCCACAGGATATTTTCCATATTACAGATCAAATGAGGAGCAGTTTGTCCAGCCTCTCTTATATGACTTAAATGCAGAAGGTGAGAAGCCTGAAAGCAACTGGAAAGATGAAGCAGAAGGTGAATGTGCAGAGCTTAGTGGAGATGCTGAGAAGGTAAATTGCAAGAGAAATCCCTCCCCATGACTATGGATATCTTTGGGCAGCATTCCCACCAAACAGCTGGCATTCATCCTTCCTTGAAGGGCACATAACTAATGATCATTCCAATGTGTCAACCCCACTCTTCCATGTATCCACGCCTCAACTCCTGTATGTGTTTATTACAGACCACCCACCCAGCTCTGGGGGCAGAGAGGACGCCGTGTTCTTCCATGGCCAATGTAGAGCCAACATCCCAGCAGCTCCTGGGAGGCAGCACCTTGGGAGGCTGCCTGCCAACCTTCTCCCTCTCCACCTCACTGCCAAGCCTGGACTGGCGCTTTTCTTCCACTGGATACATCCCTTACTACAGAACAGAAGCAGAGCTCTGCATCGGCCCAGCAACGTGTGACAAGTTTCTCACCAGGACAGAAATTTTGGAGAACAAAGAGGGAAGATGGGTAGAAGAAAAAAACACTTGGAATTTTGGTGCCGGCTGCTTGGTGTCCTGAGAAAAAAGCAGCAAGTTTGTCAGCAAAAGGCAGAAACTGGTCTAACATTGACATGAATTAGAAATTCTTGAAAGCCATAGCCACATGAACATCTGTATGAATATGGAATATACTTCTCCCTTTGAATAAAACAGTAAGTGAGAAGCTGGACTCTGTAATGACAGCAGAAAGCAGCAGGGAAATGTCTGATGGGGAAAACTTGCTCTAGAAAACATGATGAAGGAGAAGGGTAAAGATCAGAACTGTGTTTTTCTATGGCTGTTCCCTGAAGAGAACTTGCTCCCTCCCAGCCAAGAGTAGAGTAACTCCCAGGACCTCTTGGTCAGAGTGAATCCCCCCAGTAACACAGAATTGGCACAGAATTCCCTGATTCTCCTGCAGAACCCACGTTCTGCCATGCTGGTTGGGATATGGATACACATTTTGTGCAGCTGCATTCAAGACCCAGTGAGAGAGGTGACCACACAGATAAGGGGAGAAAATTCCTGTGTTTACAAAGATGAAAGATAGTAAATCCATTCACAAAGTCAGCAAATAATCTGCAAATTGAAAATGTCCTTTTTGCCTTTTATCCATACCTGCTGTTCCCCCAGTATAGACTGTGCAGGGCCAACGGTGACCTCTTGTTCATGGGAATGTGTGACAGCTGTGAAACGACAGTGCCAATGCAGAAGGGATGTGCAGCCATGGGAAACGGCCAGCGGGAAGAAATAAGAATTATTTGAATCTAAGCTGCTTGGAGGAATTAAGCAGAGACATAATTTCCAGTAGGAATTGGGAAATACATTTCCTCTCCCCTCCACTACAATCCTTCCATTGTATTAATGGCATCTGTTAGACAACAGTCGTACACAAGAGAAAAAAAGCATTTTTATTTTAAATCTTTGTCAGTAAAATTTTTTGAGCGCATTTCCATTATGTCTGTCTTCATTTCACTTGCACAGTCAGTAATGAAAATGTTCCTGATTACTTTAATATGTGCAACTATAGGCTTCCATAGTGTTGATTGTGGAAGACCTGACAACAGCATCCAGGAGCAACTTGACGTTGGTGAAGCTTCGCTGATTTACACCAGATGAGGATCTGTCCAGAAAAGCACAGCTCAGTGTTTTCTTTGCAATTGAGAAACGTTGCGACACGCTCTCCTTACTGCCAACTATGTCACCTCTTTCAGACACCACACAAGTTGATGAAACACGTCTTTTCCCATTCCTGCTACGTGTGCAGACAACTTCTCTTCAAAATAGACCCACTCCAACTATTTAGTGCGTCTGTGAGTGCTTCTGTCATGATCACAGGTCAGTGGCAGTAATCTCAAATGGATCTCTTTGGTTGAGTTAGTGCCAGCTCATCCCAGTGTCTGCAAGCAGCAGGCTGGGTTGGAAATGGGAACACAGGTAGGGCAGCCAGTGTGGCTTCCCCATCCACAGCCCTTTGCCTGGTCCCATCCTGCCACTGGTCCTCTTCAGCCATCACCTTCCCAATTACTAAGAACTCTGGCTGAACTGAGTGAGGCTGTATGGAAGAGGTTTTAAACACAAAGGTTTATGCGTTGGGTGTGTTGAAAAGAGGTCATGCCAAATATCTGGGGTTGTCTGAATTCAACAGAGCAGAGAAGGAAAGGAATTCTGCCTTGAAATTGGGTATGATTTATTCTGAGAATATTAAATTCAGTGTTCCTATACATTCAGTGTGTTAAAATAGCTCACACTATGTAATACCAAATCCACAAATCTCTCTTATTTCCACTATGTAGAAAATAGCTGCCTTCTATTGGCTGTACGTGGTAATTTATGGGAACGGCCAACATCTGAAATCAAGGATTTGGAAGATGAGAATATTACAAGCTTTACCCTTCTGGATCAGAAGAGTCTAGTTTTAAGCAAATGCCAGCAAATATCATATCATATGATGCCATCTGGAAAGCGGAGCTGAACTCATGATTTTAATATATTTTCCATACAGCTTTGCTCCGAGGTAGAAAGGATGGGAGGCAGCGTTGGATGTTCCTGTGATTCTCTCTGAGGCTTACGCTGCTTTATTACTTTTCCACATAGTTAACATCCTGTACACGGACTGCAAGTGATTTTTCTCAAAGTGATCGGAGGATCGGATTGCTGCCCTTCAAGAAGACGTGGTGTACCTTTGCCCCAAGAGTGTGCTGGAAACAACAAACCATTGGGTTCAGCCCAGCATACCGACACCGTATTTCCTTTCATCTCTTGATTTGAAAAATTCATAATTATTGCTCTAAACCCGCAGCACTTCGACATTACTGCTCTTCTGGAGTCTGCAAAAACAATCCGCAGTGACTTTGATGCACGCTGTGTAGTCTTCATTGTTCCCATTTAAGCTTTTAATCTCGCAAATACACAAAGTTAATTCATGAAACAAAACAAACAAACCGCAGCAAAAGATGCGCTTTCATAACAAAAGCGGTGATGACCGTAACTGTGGGGATTTATTACAATGCAGGTTCTTCTTTCTCAATCGCTGATGTTAGATTTTCATTTGGAAAGGAGGAAATGGGACTCGGTCACAATGTTTGTTAATCCGCCTGCCCTTAGGGAAGAGCTGACTTCAAAGTCAGTGGAAAGGTTCGCACAGACAGTGCAGGGTGTGGAATTTCTCTGGAATCAGCTAAAAGGTTCCTTCTCCAGTCAAGCACTTCAGCCCTTCATTTCTTGACCCAGAGCATCCTAAAATCTTTGACAATGCTCTCTCAGCCTCAGCCAGGTTGGGCCTGGGCTTCCAGTTACCGCACCTGGTGCAAAGCAGCAGCTGAAATGTTCACTCACTATAAACCTGAACCTCTCCAGATGCTGTTTTAGGGAGAAAATGATCTCACCACTGTTCAGTATCGGTAGTGTCTCCTGCCCCAGTGGCTGTGGCTAGCTGAGCTCTCTTCCCTCTCCAAAACCTAATTATGTTGGTATATATGACTTCATAACTTTACTTGGAGCTCTGTTCAAGATGATGCTTTTGGCAAGGAGCACCTACCAGAGAGGAGCAGAGCCAGGCGTTAAACAAAGGAGCTTACACAGGGCCCTTCCCAGCAAAGCAATGGGCAGGGATGGAAGTGACTCATGGACATGAAACAAGCTGGCTTCCGTTCAGAACCTATTTACAAGGAGCGATGAGAGGATACCTGGAAGTGGTAAAGGGACACATTCCTCCCATACAGGCACCAGGCTGCCTACTGTTGTGTCCTGGCCCACAGACACAGATCCATATCTGTCTAGATAGACGTTCTCTCTCTCAATTTTTGCGGGTACGAATGTGTGCAGAATCCAAGTGAGGTTTCTGCCCAGAGCAATTGTTACCCAGACATGAAAAGCAAAGCTGTGGTGAGATGAAGGCACGGGCTGTCCTGCCTGTAATCCTTTCCCAGATAATGACACAGGTGGGAACAGATGAGGAGAGAACAAATAAGCCCACTGACCTACGTGATCCCCATAAATCTACCTGTCCCTACCCCAGTGCTACCAATTCTCATTAACTCCCTCCAGGCTCCCAGGCTGCTCAGGGCACTTTGGCCTTTCCCAGGAATGAGTGCTGATGAGGTTTGCAGGTGGAGGGAAGGCAGAAACACCAGCACCTGATACCAGTTAGGCAGTCTTTATTTTGGCTTCTGCAGCAGCCATTAAGGTCTTACACATGGGAAAAAGAAAGCATGAGCTGTGTATTTTAGTCAGCAGTGTTTCATTGAGGCTGGTGTCCTTGGGCAAGGTTCTGCTACTGGTGTGTTTAAATGGAGACATGAATTCCCCAGGATAGCCTTAGGAGAGGATCGCCTGGTCTGTGGGGCTCCTCCAAGCTGGTGTTGGAGGAGTCATGTTGGGCAGTGCAGGGGTGGGCTGTGCTTCACATGCATGGCACTCTTGTGTAACTGCTATTTCATGGAGCACAGCAGCATGCAGGCAGAGCGGGGGAAGGGGAAAGGATGCAAGCATCTGGGAAGATTAACAAACCTTTTGCTACTGGACCAAGGTGCAAGTGTGTTCCTCGTGGGGTAGTACTAAGTGATACAGTGAAATGCAAGCAATGGGAATGGGAACAATGGGAACTTGAGCAGGAGCAAGGGGAGAGGGCAGCGGGCGCTGTGTCAAAGCAGAGGGAGTTTGGTGGTGAGTGAAGAGATGGGGCTGGGGGAATAGACATAGATCTGGCTAAGAGGCAGCGATCAGTGTGGAGCTGCAGTCCTTTCTTTCCCACTCTGAAGCTCTGCTATGGTTGGGACATCAAAAAAGAAAAAAACACAGCCCAAACTCCAACACAATATGAACCTGAACAATAGTGCTCTGACAGCTGCAGAGCGTTTGAAGAATGTGTCAGATTGGGAAAGCTTGTGAAATCTCCCGTATCCCACAGGAGCACGAGAGCTGCAGCTTTTCCTGGTTCCTCTGACCGTCCCTGTGGTGTTGGGACCATCGGTGCGTGGGATGCAGGTCTGGGGGAGAGGGGAAAATGTGGGAACGGAGCTGGCAATGCATAGAATGAGGACGTCACGCTGTTAGGCTGTGCCCCAGCTCCTCCCCATCCCATACATCCTCCTGGGGACCCGGCAGTTGGTTGCTGTGTTGGGTTTGCTCCCTAAACCATCAGGCAGCAGCGTGCTCATTGCTTCCTGAAGACCTCACTTCCTTAGAGCATCCTCACCAGTGTGCACGAGTGACAGCATCCCACCCCAAGCAGCTGCCCCGTTAGCACCTGAAGCTGGGTAATAATGGCGCTTAATGAAGCTTCATCTTTCTGTCACAGTTTGCTTTCATTAATATTTACATCTGGCAGATGTACCCCCATGGGGGAGCTGGAACTGCGAAGCATTAGGCTGCTGCACGCAGCTGGTATACATGCTGCGATTGGAGGACGTTCTTCTAAGCAGCACATTATGTGCAATTTTATTTTCAACTCATTGTAAGTGCTGCCACGTGTCAGCCTGGAGAGCAGTGCTTATTTTAAGCCCGCTCATCTGATGAAATAAATAATAGCAACACAAT